ACACCGCAGATATCCCAACTTCATCCTCCGCCATCCATACATACTATGCTGTGCTATCCAGTCATCCCTATTCCACAATTGCTTCGGAGAAGTTCCAGGCATATGCCTTAAAAATAGCCGAATGGGGCAATACTGGCGTATAAAGCTCAAATAAAGCAAAAGTACCCATGAATCACTCACCCTCCGAAGCAAACTCTTTCATATAATATTCCCAATCCAAAAACACATGTCCGCTACCTTAGGGTCCTGTAACTTTAAACGAACATGGAACCAACTCACACTACTAAAACGACATACACTAAACCAACGTTTCGGACTACTCTACAGGCAGCTATCACGCAAATGTAACGAAAAACTAACTGACAATCTACACGACTTCTAAAGCCAATCTGGACTTAGGACTAGAACTGTGGGACACCGCTAAACCTTCCAGCACCCAAAGAATACAGTCCTTCCGATCTAAGGTCCTCAGAATCATAGTCCTTACTACATCTCCAATCATACCCTTCACAATGACCCCCTTTCGTGCAATGGCTACGCGACCTACTAAACGAGGATTGATCCTCGCATTTAGTTGGACGAATAACTCGTTCACGACAAATGAGTCATGTCATATATAAATTCCACTAACATTACATGTTGCAAAAAAATTTTACAGATTGTAACAATTATTTTAATTAATTATAATTAAAAAAATTTTTTCGAAGGAGGTGAAGGACATGTAGTTGGCCGCTTCCGGTCATTTAGTAATGCCTATTCTGGTCAGCCGCGTTTCGAAATTTAGCAGTCTTCAGTGTACGGTTGTTATGGTATAACGGATGGTGAGACCCAACACTGAATTGATTGTAAATCACCTTAACTCAACTTTTCTTTTCCTGTGAAGCTCTTTCATAAAAAGCGAGTAGAATGTTTGATTTTTTTACTCGACGCTTTTGTGCAGGTCCTGTATTAGCTACATGAACATATTTAGATTTGTGAAATCAGAAAACGCTGCAGTTACTTTTGTAGTAGTGAAAAAAATCACAGTTAAACAGTTAAATATTGGATTTTGTTTGATCTTTTAAATTTTGCTTATTGTGTCGTATATAAAGAGCGACCTGATTATACGATATTAGAGTCGTGCCCCAGGATATCAGCACAATTTGCACGCGATTCTACAGAAGTAATTTACAACTGAATAAATTATCGTGCCAATTTGTCAATTAATTAATTAACACAGTATTGTTATTATAATCTGCATTGATAAAGGCGTTCAATTGTTGGTAAAGACGATGGGAAATGTCATGCAGTGGAATTGCAACAAGATAAACTTGTTGATGTTGATTTAGTAAAATAGACAGGGCGGTGTGAAACTAATATCCAGGCTTTATCGCTTTTAACCGATAAACAAATGTTTTTGTACGCATTCATACTTTGGTTTTTATCGTTTTTGTCTATGCGGATATCTCGTTTTAGAGCTTGGCGGTTTAATGGACTTTTAACTGTGAAGCTTTCCCACACGGCAAGTCGATGGCAATAAACGCGAGGAATGTTACAATTCGCGCTGCTCGTAAACATAACCGCGATATTATTACCCTTCTATTTTTTTTGTATTTTTGTTTTTGCCATTTCATCGTTCAACCACCAATTCCGAACTGGGACCGGCCGCCGATCCTATACCAGGTGTGGATAAAGGCGAGAATGGGAAAAAAACAATCCGTTGGAATGCTCTAAGATTTCCCGATCTGTTTTCTCTTCTCCTCACTTTTTCTCGATTTTCAACGCTTTTCTCCCATTCGAAAGGAATGCGGAATAACCATAGGTATCATCTTTAATCATAGTGAATCTTTAGTATATGCTGAAAAGAAAACAAATTGAACCCAATACCACTTTCCTATAAAGTCAAAGCCTGGGATCACCTGACAACACTATCATAAAATCCAACACACTTAACTCATAAATTGTCAACCTATCTCAAAAGTAATAATTCTGAATTGTCTAGAACTCTTCGTTAAGCATAAGGTTTTTTACCAGATCTCAAAAATTTTTTTAAAGCTTTCCTTTACCATTTGATTTTTTCTGTTCCGAAGGAAATAAATTTGAGCTTGCAGAGGACATGTTCAGCTGTTTGCTCTTCTTTCTTGTAACATCTGTGCAGACTTGTTTCTGCTGCTCCTTGTCTATAATTTTCCGGAATCTCCAGTGTCCAGTCAGCCGTCATAGCGATGTCCCATTCCCGTTGAACCTACGACTTATCCCTGAAGTTAACCTTAACCCATTGTCCGCTGGATCTATCGTTTTGGTAATTTGGTAGGCCATAAGAGGTTCAGGGCCGATAAGCCTCATCGAACTTTCCTTGATCAGTTTATCGGTCTCTTCGCTGGCCCTCTGCCCTAATATCTAAATTAGGTTAGACTTTTAATATCCGTGGCAGGTATGCGATAGTCAGCCTCCGCCTGAAATGCAGTTACATATCAATGACTGTTATCATTCTAGTCCTGATACGTCCTAAGTTTGGTAGTTCTGCCGTTAGTTACTGCGATGATCTTTTAATGAATATTTCACACGATTTTCCAGAAATGCATTACAATGGATCTGTGGGTTTGGCAGTCTGGATGTCTAAATGAGTTCAGGGTCGATATGTGACCTCATCGACACTTTCTTGGTCAATTTTGGTCCACTCTGCCCTGTACCAAGATTAGGGTGATTTTGTAGTTTCCCCCTTCGCCTGACGAGTGCTCTGGTCTTTACTACCGATGAGGCAGTTATTTTTTGGGCCTCCTTGCTATACGAGTAGATGGCTGTTCTTATGTTCGTAAAACCTAGATTTTAATCTCTCTGGCACAGTCTTCGCAGGTGTATGATTTTTCCCAAGATGCATTCACCGACTATTTTGGGTGTAATATTCTGATGAGCCAAAGCTTTTAGAACTGCTTGGCTGTCTAATCTTGAGGATTGTTCTGTGAGTGTAACCTCTTTTGACGTTTCCTACTCAACAAGCATTAGTAAGTATTGGTTGTTCGTGCGTTTACGACTTGCACACCGCGACCAATATTGTTCTATTGGGTATTTCCATTTTTTTGAACTCTTCCTTAGAATTAAGGCTTTGTATCAGAACAGCTTTGTTAAAGGCTCGTGTGTATCCATTCTCTCCCTTGGAATCTCACAATCAGCCTGCATAGGCCTTCGCACCAAGAGGACATGTTACGCTGTATCTTTTTCTTCTGACCAGTATCTGCACACGTGTTTCTTCTGGTTCGAATACATACTCCTCTGGAATCTACAGTGACCAGTCAGCAGTCCTGCCATCATTCTAGACCTAACACCTAATTATGACCTGAGTTTCTGCTACGTGATTTAACGAACGTTTATGCATGGCTGTTTTGCGGCATAAAATCCTAGTACTTATTGTTATCGCATTGTCTGTCTAAGGTTCCTGGCAATTCGGTATGCCGCAAAACGGTTTCCTCTTTCTTATTTTCTCAACAAATGTGGAAAATCGTTGTGGTCAAATTAAAACATTCTTATCAAACAAGTTTCTTATCCTTACATTATTCACGCATTATTTAGCTGTCTTTAGCCATTTTAATAAAGGATAAATTGTCACCACAATCTCTTTAAGTTTGATCAGTGCTTTATTTTCTACTCATGATTGTACTGTCTTGAGCTTTAGTTACAAGGTAAAATCCTAGCCTCTTTCGGGCCCAAAGAATATGTTTTTCGAGTAAAATAATATTTATAAGAAAATAAAGCTTATTCTCAATTGATTCAACGAATAAAAAATTGATAAAAATAACTATATTGATAAGACGACAACATATTTCTTTGTGGAACGGAAAAATACCCCTTTCGAGAACAATGTAAAGAGCATTTGTTCAATTTGTAATTACAACTTGGCACGTTTAGATGGGAAAACGTTGGTATCAACGTTGATTTGAACTCGATTGCATCTGATAAGGCCAATCTGTCATCCCTGTCAACGGAAACTCCGTATATTTATCTGTTTTCCCACTTCGTTTTCCACTTTTTTTCCACCGGTTCACTGCGAGCTGATACTTCCAAAGTCCAAAATTTCAAAGGGACCCTCTTTAAAACCACCGGCTTCGCCATTAACATGCAAAATGGCAATAACGCAGTTTCACGCTCTCTGACACACAGGAGGATTCTGGGTCACATATTTGTCGTGCTTGGCTTTGTCGCCCCAGGGATGGATTTCGCCCTACGTCTGATAAATAAACAAAAACTAACCGCCCCCTCTTCAGCACAAATTCAAACCCGATGTTAAAATCGTACCATATTGTGGTTTGGCTAATCTTCAGAACCCCCCCAAAGATAACGGCAAGGGTAACGATTTTCCCCACAGGCTTTCTAAGGGGGAGGTTTAATAATACAAAACTTTCTTAGTTGTTTTCAATTTGGATTAATCACACCCGGAAGTGTAGTTTGGAGTTTATTCCCCCTTGAAATCCAACTCGGAATAACATTAATAAATAAGATGATAACAATCCTGGAATTGTTAATTCCATGTACTGTCTTATAATTTCCTATTTCACAATTCTACTCCAGAGGCTCCAGTTATATAAATGTTACAAAAAAAACATAAACAAATTTGTTTTACCCAGAGGATAGACAGTAAAAGCAGCATTGCATATTCTTTTGTTTGATTCTTATTTATGGTGTTTCATGCTCTTATCTGGCTTATTACTAAAGTTTAACACTACTGAACTACTACTTTAATATAGTATATTGTTGATATAAATATTTTCAATCCAAAATATCTTTTTTTCCATAATTAACATTTTATAAGATATATCAGTGTCAATCATTTTAAACTTATATCCATTTTATTATACATAAATATATAAGAAGCGGATGCTCTATTATTGAACCGGCTGGTTAACGACCACTGTAATTTACCAGTTGGTAACCCAGGCTAATAATAAAGCCGGCTTGTTATAACTTAACATTAATTGAGTTTTTATGTGTTAAATCATTTCTCAGTGCTGTATTTTTTGTTTCAGACCTGTTTGAAGCTCGGGAAGGGCGCTACGAACGGCGTGATCCCGACCATCACCCGGGACGAACCCGCCGCCGTCAAACAGGAGCGAGCCTCGCCCGTTCCGCCTAAGATCGTCAACAACCACCATGAAAAAGCCGTAAGTACTGCTTAAAAAAATGTATATACTGTAAAAGTTAGTCCTGACATCTAACAACGGAACATGGTCGTGGGAATCGAACATCGAACGTTCGATAGGTTATCGACGGATTGAATGTGTGGAAAATTGTCTCAGTTCTTGTTGAAACATGGGTAGTCGTGATATGGCGGTGTGTTCTCATCGAATACGAATTGCTATTAAAATCATTGGAACCAGGTTATCAACTATCAGTATTGATCAAGGTCTTAAATTGTTTGAAGATGATGATCATAAATTAGGTGCGCAAAAGTGATCATAATATGTTTTTCACACGGTCACACTAATAGTAAGGCCAACGCTGAAACCAGCTAATGGTGACAATCAGTGTGAGAGATTAAGGGACAAGGAAGTTTCGATCGTCGATTAAGGCGACGTGGCGGCTTCTCGAGATGTTGAGAGAGAGAGAGGGCTGGAGCAGTAGGGTTAGGAATGATCGAGAGATTGTTGTGAAACTTTTGGAATCCGGAACGGATCAGTCAGTAGACAACAGGAATTTTCAGGTCGTTGTGGATAGTGAGGTCAGAGGCGTAGAACTTGTGGTTGGAAGGATTAGTTGCGCTGGATATTGTATTGCTTGGCAGAACCCTCAGTTCCTCTTCGTCCATAGTGTATAATGTCTTGTATAAGGTTAGTTTTGTTTTGACGGTCGATAGAGATTTCGGTCCTAGGTGACTTCGTAGTTTTCCACGTTTTATACTAAGTTGCTTTCTTTAAGTCTTATGTGGGGACTCCACGTCATTATTCTCTCTAGGTATAGTCCTTGTGACTTGAATGGAAGTCGGTCTTTGTTGTTGCAACGAGTACATTTTTATTCATACAGTCTTGTTATCTACGTTTTGCACAAGTCTTCGAAAAGCTCAAGGTGTTCTTGGGTGTGGGAGTTTGGATGGGATTACGAGTTAGAGGATAGAATTAGAATTATTAAGGTACTACGGTGCATAGGTGGGTAAAGGATGGGACCAAGAATGCTCCCTTGTGGGACGCCGGCTTGTAACTGACTTCCGAGAACTCGTTGCCGAATTCGTATTTTAAAGACTTAAAATTTAAATGAATCACATTTATAATATAATTCATTCACTTAGACATAATTGGCAATTATCAAGACAATTTGTTCATGCGTCGGATCAGCATCGAAACACGCGGACCGGATACGATCTTCCGAAAAAACTGTTGTCAACAATTTATCACTAATTTGTGTGTGTGTGTGTGTGTGTGTGTGTGTGTGTGTGTGGGCGCGTGCGTGCGTGCGTGGGTGGGTGCGTGGGTGGGTGCGTGCGTGCGTGCGTGTACGTGTGTGTGTCATGATTATGATGGGCTAGAAAGCAAATTAAAAAAACTTGAATCAATTTTACCAGTCTTCGAGAATGTGTTCAGGAAGTTGGAGGTAGCTCGGATAGGATTCCAGTTAGAGGATAAAATTACGGTATCCGCGTTTGGGTTGATGGGATGTCGGCAGTATCCATTGTTTACACGGACCAAGACAAGTTAAAGATTAAAGAAACAATAGGTAAATATTGTCAGGACCTACCTTAATAGAACTCTAACCTGCACATTGTCTTAGTGCAACGATAACCTGGTTCGGGAGGACCGCCAAGTCATTAGAACGTCCGTCACGTATTTGGCATGCTATTGCGTTTGTCGAATCCCGGCCATGGAATTCTACTTAAGAATAATTTTGAACAGAGAGTATTTAAGTTAAGCCCTCCTGTACCTACATGAATTACTCTAATTTTTCTCTACATTGGCAAATCGTACATCCCTTACATGAAAAGATTCCACCTTAAATCTAACCCTTTCCAGTGAGGGCTGTTCAAACGTTCGGCAAAGTTCCAAACATCTAAAGAAGGGGATAATATATTTCAAAAGTTTTTTCCTGCCATTATCCAAATGATCGCTTTAAGTTTTGATTTACCGGTCGTTCTTCCTTGTTGAATAACAAACAAAGCGTGCTGAATCATATATGAATCATTGCAGCATATCGTAATAAATTCGATGTCAAAATACAACCCTACTCAATCATTAATGATACACTTATTGATATTATCGGGGGAGATGAAAGAAGAATCCTTTGATATATCTCTGCGATTATTGTGTTATACTGCCTTGTTAGGTTATTATGTGTGGGGTGTATGCGCGCGTGTGTTTTATACATACACATGTGCAATATAAACACATTTAAGTAACACTGCCGACTTTTTAGGGAAAGCGGCATGAAAAGCTATTAGCTTTGTTGATGTTAGCTTTTCCACCAATTAAAATAATACAAGTCGTATTACATTTTATAAACTTATGTTTTAATGTGGAAATAAAATTTCAAAAGGAGAAATATTTTAAAAACCACGTGAGATTAGACCAAATTTTATTTTTTGTGTCGTTTCGCTGGTTTTGTCTACACCATCAATCTGTACCATCGGTTTCTGTGTGTTGTTTGCTGTGTTCTCTTTTATATTTTATATCCATTTTTGTTAGAGAAATGAAAACGTTTTGAGCTGAGAATATCCCTCGAAAGAAAATTTATTTTGATCTGCTAGTACTTTAAGTATTGACATGTAAGTTTGTAACCCTACTGCTTATTAAGGTTCATTTTAATGTCCAAATCTTTTAAGTTGTTTTCCCTTTGAAAATGGGGGAGAACGACGGCACTTGAACTCGTTGGGAGGGTCCAAGACATCTGCTTCCCTTCCATTCAGGGTCCATAATTTTTTAACTCGCATTACCACCTGGGCCAGTGCGGAAATGCCATTTTTCGATTATCTTCCCAATAAAAAAAAATGTCCTCTCCTGGCTTTCAATTCTCCAGTGAGTGAAGTCCGGAAATCGAGAATATTCACCCAGCTGAGGGCTTCCAATTTGTTTGACTTTTCACAGTGATGTTACATTTTTTAGGAGTTGTTCTGTTCTATACAATTTCACTGTCATACATAAGCATAAATAAAATAGTAAATGGCATGTTGAAAGTATTTCTAAGGAGAAAGGTAGAGGCAGTACGTTTGAATGTAGAAAAATCAAAACATATTTCATAGAAATCTAGCGTACTAAGTTTGAGTTGAACATTTCAATTTGTTTAAATGTCTTCACTCTGTGATGTAAGACTTTTTTTAGTTATTCTAGTAAACTTAAACATGACTTACGTAATCATCATCTAAGTCCAATTAAATAGTAATCCGAAGGAGCGAGGTCGGTGCTTTGACCTGAAGTACAAAAGTGGTCATCGCTTTAAGGGTTAATAATATTATTTTAACCGTAATAAGCAATTTAGATGGATTGATTATAATTCAGGTTTTTTGAAGCTTTACAGCTGACCTGAGTTATATTTGTATTCTGCAGCGCTAGTGTTGACAACAGTGCCTTCTATTCCTGTTTCCTGGTGCTTTGATTATCAACAGCTGTGGCCGTCAAAACATCACCTTGAGACGGACGTGCTTTATATTCATGCCGCACTGATTTTTTGAAACAAGTAACATGATAACTTCAACTTCTATTCTGTTTCACGTTCGGACTCTTGCTTCATTCTTCATCCCGCTGACCTCAATTTCACAGTTTATTGCTAAACAGACGGTTCAAAATGAACTAGTTTAAAAATGAAACCGCTGTCCTTCTTCACCGACTGGTGTTACAATGTGGTTAAGGTTCGGGGCCCAAGAAAGGTGTACCTCGTGACCTCATCCATGTCACTCTCTCACTCCATGTTCTTTCATTCTACAAGGGGAGTGTCCGGGCGCAAAATAATGGTGTAGCTCTGAGGGCTTGGCAACTTCTCTAAAGCGCAAGCTGTACCCGTGTCGGCCTCGGGTCGGCATGGGGTGGCGGGTGCTTTATCAGAGACACACGATGGTTAGGGCACCAGATCCTGTCAGCATAGACGGGGGAGGGTGCATAACCATCTGAACTACGGGGTACCAGAAATGTTCCAAGGTTCAGCCCCTGTTACAATGGGAATGGATTCGTAGTCGGCCGTGGTGAGACCTCTGGCGGGTACTTAGAGAAGAGGCTGTCTTCTGTCTATGACCTTCGCACGAAACTTGCGTATGACCTTCGTTATACACCCGGCCTCACGGGATACGGCGGATCGGACGGCAGCGTATAAGCGTTGAGGACCCTATGATTGGTAGCTGAAAAGTCACTGGAATGCGTGAGTAGTGGCGGATGGGAACAGTTAGTGAATCGGTTGCTCCTACTCAAGTATGCTTTGCACGTTGGTGTAGGCTGAGCTCGATTGGAGGCTTTTACAGTAGGCGGTTTTCTCTAGGGGGTGGTTAGCAATTCCACTTTAAACAAAACCGCGGCCGGAGCGGATCCGGTAGTTTCTACGCTGGGGAAGCCCCACTACACTGGGGGGTAGAGTGGCCTTCTCTACCTAGGGTGTGCGCGGGAAACCAGAAGGATGTATTTCGGCTTAGGTAGCCCTTTGCGCGCGGCATAGGTTCGGTGCCTAATACGGACCCGACCACTTGGAATGGACAAGCGGGGAGCGAGGTTGTCTTGGGCCTTCGGAGCTGAGCTGCCGCTACACCAACGCTGCGGCAGTAACACTCTTCTGTCGTATGCGGAGGTGCGTCAGATCTCATCTTGAGAATCAAAACGTCCGATAAGGCCGAATAGGCTAGGTGCGGACGTTATAGATCCTCATTATCCTATTTAGGACCACCGAGAGTACGGGAAAGCAATGCACTTCTTCACTAGCGTGCCCTGAGGTATTAGTTCTGCAGCTCTCGTCGGGATTAACTCCAGTGCTTTGACAATAGCATCGTTGTATTAACTAATGGTTCATTAGGTTTCCTTGTGCGTTATTACCAGCTGTGGGTCAAAATATCACTTTGAGGTGGTCGTGGACTGATATAATTGTAATTGAAGGTTAATGCTTCCATGATTTTTTGAAACTCGCTCTGAGCAGTTGAAATCTTCCCCTTTTACTCTGTCTCATGTTGGGGTTATTGTTTCTTATCCTTTTAGAAATCAAA